TGTATGAATATTTAATTAGCTGAGAAGGGTAGCTTGGTAGTGTTGTTCTCGCGTACTTGGGATCCTAAGAGGCCTGAAACGCAGTCAACACACAAGTAAACATAAGAAAATAATGTAAACTAAGGTTTGAAAAAACCACTGCAAAAACAGTGAACGATAAATCGGATCTGGGAAGCGGGATCTGGAAGCATATCGTTTGAGTAAGAGGGAAAAGACTGCATGTGAGATAATTGTGGGCTTAAATGCCACATTCTAATGATTAAACAACACAAATACGAAGTTTAAATAAAAGCTAATCAAAGAAGAAGTGACTGAGATCGATACTATAATTATAGGTTCTTAATCACGACCATGACCACGACCACCCCAAGCTACCCCAGTGCATCGGGTGCAAAGAACTTTGAAACAAAAACTTAAATATTTATATGAAGACTCTATGCGCTAGTTTTGAAATTCTTGCAAATAATTGAAAGTATTCTTAGTCGATCCAATCGATATTAAAAAATTTTCCCTTTTAAATATTGACTGTTAAAAAATTCTTCTCTGTGTTTAAGAAAGGCCGATAAAATTTCAATTGAAAAACCATTAAAGTTTCTGGCATTGGTGTTTTAAAAGTTTCTCATGTAGCGTGCATATATTTTCTTTAGAGAAATAACTTGTGCCAAAGTACTGATACGAAGCCTTAGAACTCTTTTCCTTCCTTCCCCTTCCCTTTCTAAGCCTGCGGCGCTGGTTAGAAGAGGTTGCTTGGCATGAGAGCAGCAACTGCTAATGCCTGGTCAATTCAGTTCTAATAGACAAAGGTAAGGTAAGACAGGTAATAGATCAGGGAAGCCTACGTCAACGGGGACATCGCGGCATCGTGCACGTGGCGGTTCTCGAAGGCTGAATCGCGGTGGAGGCCGATTCAACAAACCTCGCACAGTCAACTTCGCTGTTTTTATCAACAATAACAGCTTTACAAGGAACCAACTATATGTACATAAATTACTGTTGGTACTTCAAAGTAATGCCAAGTAAAATAATCACAAGCTTTGAATCCTTCTCAGTTATTAACTAATACATCTTTACGTGATAAAGGGATTTCTAAGTTCTTCAACCGGTTTATGCGAGGATGATGGTGGTTTGGTAAAAAAAAACAAACAAACAAAACTACTTGTGCTAGGTCAAAATGTACAGATATAACAAAAACTAAGTGAAAAAAATACTAACAGCAGGGAACCAAGGAATTTCGAAAAAAATTGATTGAATTTCAGTAATAAAAACATTTCAAATGCAGGAAACTGTGTAATCATCGCGAAATTAATTTCCAGTTTGTTGAAGGGGTGGATTTTTGGACATTTTGGACATGATTACTCTAAATCTGGGGAAACCGGAAGCTATCTAACAATTTTAATTGCTTTGCGTTTCCAGCGAGTGCAGCTGTACAATGAGCATGGAGCTTAGACCATGCGTAGAGCACGTTTTGAGGTGTTTATGTTTATGTTTATTGAAAACGTTACAGTCAAGAAGACTTTTGCACGGACTGATCAAATAAAGTGAAATAGAGTTAAGTTGCGATATTTCGTTTGGCCAATACCATTCTTCATCAGGTTTATTGAGATAACACGAATTTACAGAAATATATATGAGGTAAAATAATGACCGGAAATTACATAATATGACGTGGTATGGTGTGGCTACTTAAAAAGACAAGATAACAAAAAAATAAAAGATCTCTATATATAGTTACAGTTCATCACGTTTATTGATGCCCAAAGGCTCAATAGTCTTAGCTCTATGGATAAGGTGGGCTTCACGTGCTTTGCTGAAAGAATCACGCCAATTTTTAAGTTTTTCAATGGTAATCAGAAGCATATGATTGTCCAAATTGTACTTCCAGCAGCTATGATCAACATGACAGTGGAGTGTATTACATGACAAAGATAGCGCGTTCAAAACCGCGGAGGAAACACTTTCTGGAATATTTCAGGCTCTGAAATAACAAAACTAATTACCAAGGGAAAGAGCCTGGTCAAAAAACTTAATTACCCCTCCTCAGCGTGAACGTAAGTGGAACTTGGAAGCGCATCGTTTGAGCATCTTTTCTTAGTTTGAGTCAAGAGGGAAAACTTAAGACTGCGTGTAAGAGATCAAACAATACAAACGCGAATCGAAGTTTAAATCAAAACTAATTAAACAAGAAGTAACTAAGATCGGTAGGTTCTTAATCACGACCACGGCCACTACAGTGCATGCTGCAAAGAACTTTGGAACAAAAACCTAAAATATTTAAGAAAACACTCAATTACCCCTTCTCATCGATACGGTGAGCGTAAACTGAAGGGAACTTTCATTGGAAGCACATCGTTTGAGTAAGACGGAAAGGACTGCATGTGAGATAATTGTGGTTTATAAATATATACCACATTCTAAAGATCAAACAATATAAATACGAAGTTTAAATCAAATTAAACTAATTAAACAAGAAGTGACTGAGATCAATGCTATATTTATAGGTTCTTATAGACGTCTTAATCACGACCACGACCACTACAGTGCATCGGGTGCAAAGAACCGGCTTTGGAACAAAACGTAAATATTTAAGTAATGGAGACTCGATGCACTAAACTCTATGTTTTCCTTTAAATCTTGAATTTTTTCAAAAAATTCTTCGCTGTTTAAGAACGAAAAGTCGATAAAATTTCAATTGAAATGCCTTTAAGGTTTCTAGGTGTGTTACACCTTTTGCTGTTCATTACGAGAAAATACCCAATCATTTCCGTGAAACGGCGACCAATAGTGCGAAGATACATTCATTAGCGCGAAAATACGAACATTTGCGCATATATCAGATTCAATTACGATCTTTGCATTTTAATCAACATTCAATAACACTTTTGGGCATTCATATGCGTCTTTGGGCATACAAAAGAGAGAAATGTACTTTCATTAACGCCAACATCAAAGTCATTAACACCATCTTGAAAGTCAATAGGGACAACTGACATACATTAAAGTGCAAACACTATTCATTAACATTTTTATGACACTGTTTGCAATTCATTAGCATTCCTGGACAACCTTAGGATGGATAAGACAAACATTAATGTGCTTGTACAATCAATTGAGTGTTCTTTACATTTAATATACAAAAATCGCTTTTCAATTAAACAATAGAAATTCAAACAAATTTGGCCTGAATTTCAGTCCGTTAAATGTATATCCCTCAAATATCTGGCTATTAATACATTTTGGGAGGTAGGTTTGCATGAAATGGTACCCCTTAGCACATTTAGCAGCTGTCACAACGTCATGTTTCTGCGCACGGCTTCAAGCACTGCAGTTGTTGTTTCCGAACTCCGCTAGTAGGATTGCTAGGGCTTTGCCCTCATTCCTGTTATGCGTCTTTAAATTTCCGGACTCGAGATGTCGGCCTTTGGTGTCGCTTTCAGACAACTTAAATCCTTTTCAACGATGTCGAGGGAGGAAGCATAAGCTGCGTACGTATGGAACGGGAATGGCCAAAGCTAGGTGGCTGCCAGGCACCCCGTCATACGCAAAGACCGCCGACTTATCGGGATCCATTTTTTCCTCGCCAACACGGTATTCATTACTCCAGCAGCTGCCGAGGAAAACATTTGATAGGTAATATTGCCATGGTCATAGTCAAGTTTCGTCCTCTTTGGCCGCACACTTAGCAGTACGCCCTCCACTCCCTGTCCCGCCCCACCATGACTTCTGGCCGTCTAGGGTAAATGTATAGCCGCAGCCGTCGACAAACACACAGTAGCGAAGTACGGCGTGATTCTTTAAACAAATTCAGGCCAATTTTTTGGGGGAATTGGTATTGTTTAATTGAAAACATATTTTTGTATATTAAATGTAAAGAACGCTCAATTGATTGCGCAAGCGCATTAATGTTTGTCTTATCCATTCTAAAGCTGTTCAGGAATGCTATTAAATTGCAAACAGTGTCATAAAAATGTTAATGAATAGCGTTTGCACTTAAATGTTTGTTCTTTGTCCCTAATGATTTTCAAGATAATGTTAATGATTTGAATGTTGGTGTTAATGAAAGTATATTTTTCCCTTTTGTATGTCGAATGACGCAAATGAATACCCCAAAATTCTGTTGAGTGTTGATTAAAATGCAAAAATCGTAATTGAATCTGATTTACGCGCAAATGTTCGTATTTTCGCGCTAATGAATGTATCTTCGCACTATCGGTCGCCGTTTCACGCAAATGATTGCGTATTTCCTCGTAATGAACAGCAAAAGGTGTAAACGAATGATCATTAGACTAGCTTTCTCATGTAGCGTACATATCTTTTCTTTAGAGAAATAATTTGTGCTGGTCCGACTGACAACGGGCACTGTTTGTAGCAAAAAAAGTTCATCATGCCTGTCCATAACATTTGAGTTTGCCTAATGTGTGATAACCTTCCTCATGTGAACCATCCAAATCTCCCAGTCTGATTTGTGTCACAGGAAGAGTAGACTTGTCTGTCAGCAGACCGCTGTCCTCTCTCCAGCCGATGCCGCTGTTGTAACAATTACAATTGTTACCATTGGAGCAAGAGTTTGTTACTCCGCATGCGCACCTGTTGTTATATCCTGTAGCTCCACCCCAGTAGTTCATGCGTGTTCCGTCACGTGACACCCACCAGGCACCATTATCCTGTATAAATTGAACATCATTATTGCATTCGAACTTGATAAACTGTTCACAGTTCTTTGAGACTTAAGTAAGTGCTGCCAACTGAGCAGTGCTAACTCCAGTGTAGGTCACATCTTTCCTGTAACAACCTGCAGTACCACATCCAGGACTGACACTATTCACATGTGTTCTACTTTCGCTGTCGTGACTTATGACTGTCACGCCAACTCCTCCCTTGTCACTCATATCACAATACACACTGAACGGAGCCACGCCTCCTTTGCCATCAGGGTCAATAATATAATTACCTGAAGAGCTTCCACTGCTGCCTGATTTTATACTGCTAAAGGACACAGGTTTTTACACTTCAACAACAGAAGTTGCCTCAACAGAACGAAGTGCGTTCTTGGCCACGCAAGTATATGTTCCGGCATCGTTTGTAACCACTCTCCTGAGAAGCAAAGTTCCATTGGGATGAACAACATGATTTCGAGGTAAAATTTTACCAGTTCTCTTCCATGTGATCTCAGTGTTTCCTTGAGCTGAACAGTCTAACAGTAAGTTGCTTGACTGTGTTACAGTAACTTTCAGGGGAGGAGTAAGTATGAATGCGAGCCTTTCAAAGACCATCACTTGAGCAACAGCGAAGTCCTGTCCGAGAAAATTCTTTGCTGAGCATGCGTAATCCCCGCTATCAGCTTTAGCTATGTTACGAATTGTCAATTTCCCATCATCCACTGCAGTCTTCCCTCTTGGCAAGGAACTAAACGCTCTCCGCCACGTGATCGTTGGTATTGGAAGACCTGTAGCTTTACACTGCAACCTCACGTTTTCCCCTACTTCAGCAACAATAGACGAGGGTTTTTGATTGATTAAGGCAGCAACTGTAAAGTAATGAAGAAATATAATAAGCCAAGAAAATAAAAACAAGTTACAAGTAAATTAAGAGTGGCTGTCTGTAAGAATCGAGAAACGGCGGTCAGCGACCCATTTGGCGAATCCCTGATATTTTGCCCAAAGTTAGCCTTGGGTAGACTATTTTCAAAAATCATATTCAAAAGTTCCAACGATTTTGTTTATTTGTGAAATTTGAGAAAAATTAAAAGTACGGTCAAAATGCGGTCAAAGTGCGGTTTTTTGGTTGATCAAAAAGTGCGATGATGAACCTCCGCCGAAGTCTTAAAACGAAATCAGTTGACCTCAAAATAAAAAGAATTTCAAAGCAATCAATCTTCTACACTATCAATGTTTTAATCTTTTCAAATATGATACTACAATGGTTTTTCAGGCCATTTAGAAAACATCTTCGGAGACCGCTTTTGATGGCGGCAAAATGTAGCTAATATTCATTAGGATAAAAATGTTCCTGGTATGTCAGTTTTTAACAATTAAGCATTGCAGAGCTAATATATAGGTCTTAAAGAGTTACCAAATAAAGTTTCAAGGTCGAACTCGGAACGCTTCCCTTCGAAGGAATCGGAAGTCTGAGCAATATCAACGTGCAAATGGCGCTGGATTTATAACAAACATCTAACATTATAGTTACAATCACTTGAGTTAAAATATCAAACTAAATTTACCTTTGACAACTTTAAGTTTGAGCATTGCAGAGCTAAAATATAGGTCTTAAAGATTTACTAAGTAAAGTTTCAAGGTCGAACTCAGTAAGCTTCCCATGAGACAAGTCAGTTAATTCACTACAAAGAAGTATCAGCGCTTGTCAACAAACATCTGAAACATTCTCGTCCCGTTACTCGATCAGAAGGACACTTTCCATATCTTCTCTCGTTTGAAATTCACAAGTCGTTTTAGATTAGGTTAAACGCAATAAACACATTCGGCCTCTCAGACCTAAACAATTTCAAAATAAAGATCGGTTGAAAAGAATCACTAACCCCGCATATCTCAGTACTGCCTGGAATTTTTACTTCAGTTACCTGATCTTCCTAAAGCGCCGTATCCTGTAAATGCAACCTTGTATCGATGTCTCAAGCGCTCAGGATGCGAGCGGTATAGTGCTCCAAATATTTTTAATACTATTAACTCACGACTTATCGTTGAATTGCACAGAGGCGAAAAGGAGGAAACAAAGTAATCCGAACCCAAACAAACAAACACTAATTCGGCGCTATTGTAAAATTGGCACTGACACCATGAAACCGAAAACGAAATTTACGTTTACCTTATCCTTTTCTCCATTTTGTGTCCACCATTGCAAACTTTCTGTAAAAACAAATCAGAGACTTTAAATTTCATATTCAGATGCATTTGTAGCGCTTCGAAATGCGTGCATGCTTGGAACACAGGAAATTTACCAGAAAGTCACGCAACCGTGCGCACGAGCACACCCGTCGCTATTGTGCAAAAACATTTCGCAACAGGTTGAAAATGCAGCGTTGGCGGAGCGTTGGTCATATATCCTTGTTTAACTCAGTCTCGTCGTTTCTTGAATGGCTCACTGTAGCTACAAAGCGCTTCTAGGTAAGGCCACCCCTTCCCAGGGCACACCTTGCGGTCAGTCCGCAGATTATCGTGGTCAGCTGGAATGTATTGCGCTCAAAGACTGTACAAAAGATGTAACTGGCCATTTAAAGACCTTAAACCTCAGCGCAGATGAGAGTTTTAGGATCTGAAATAAAGTTGCTGTTAGCCAGAGCAGGTAAATACCACCCTAAAATATAATATTTTTGTCTTTTTATCATTTACATTATTATTATTGTTATTATTATTATACGTTTTTCCTTTTATCATCATGCACTTGAGGGTGGTTATTCTCTTTGTATTAACACATCATTCTCCTTCCAGGGGTTTTCTCAGTGGAAGAACATCAATGTGTCTTGAGCATTTGTCCCAGGCACAGGGCTGATTACGGCATCCGCTGGAGGACGGGGAAGACCATGTGTACAGTACCCAAAGAATTAGCGGTACATAAATCTACAACTTGCTAAAGGCAGCCACCGAGTGGATAGCTTGAAGTGGGCGTTTATTTTCAAAAACACGAACACACTTATTCCAGTTGGATCACGTAAGTTGCAGACTTTTCTGCGAAGGTTGGTTGGATAATGGTGACTTTTTTACGGTTAAGAATCACATATAAGGTGGCACACAAGGCGAGGAGTTTGCTAGCACTCTATTAAAGAAACAGTGAGAAATTTCCACGAGACAGTGACAAGAGAGGAGAGAGCATGCAAGGAGAGGGGAAGGCGCTAATTATCACGTGCCCCTTGTTTGTATTACGCAGGAGTATTTTTTTCCCGGGGGTGCGGGTAATCCTAGCACACCTTGCGGTCCTCATTCAAAATTATTGGTCTTGCGGGCAGGAAGTTGTCTTCTTTCTATGTATGTTTTAAATGCATTTGTTTTTACAGTCAGTATATTGAAATTAATTTCTGTTCGTCTGTTCTTTTTGTTTTGCTTTTGTTTTTCTATTTAAAGCAACTTGTAAACAATGCAACGAGTATATCAGCAAACAGGCAATGCCCAACCAAACTCTAGTGTTTGCTTCAGGTGGGGTGGAGCCCGTCCCCGGGGTCTCGCACCTGCAAGAGTTACCCAAGCCCCATTTGTTGGTAAGTAGAAATAAGAAACATCAGTGTAAATGGTTTGTTTAAGTGGCTACTTTAACGATGGTATGAAATGTTTTACTTTCAAAAAAGCATTCATCATTCATTCATTCTTTCATTTCCTTTTTAATCCTTTTTTACTTTAGGAGATTTCTTTTCATTTCTTTCTTTCTTTCTTTCTTTTTTAACGGGTTTGTGTGGGTGTTGGCTTATGAATAAAGTAAAACAAAATAAACGTTTTATCATGCTTTATATAGTCATTACACAATATATTTGTTTGAACTGTTTTAGGTAGAGGGGGAAACAGGCCGTTCAAGTGCATAAACAACTAGCAGTGAGTTATCGTCTGATGACCTTGCAACTGAACTGAAGAGGCTGGAGATATCGTCAAGAGGGCGGGATGATGAGACGTTCCTCAGTCCGGATACTGGAAGTCTTGTTTCTTCCACGAGTGACGAGGCCCCAACCACTATGCAAGAACCTCGCAAAAAGTTGAACGAATATCTGGTTTCGAAAAACATCCCGCGAATAACTCAGCCCTGGATGGAATGGGATAAAGCTGGAGAGAGCACTAAGAAGGAATACACCACTAGGACAGTGGAGATCTTTTCTTCAGTCCTACAAGATCTTACACCTAACTATGCAGGTTCTCTTTTGCAAGCGGTCTTCTCGTCCCCTGCCATGAACAAAGCTCTTAAACTCGATGAATTATCACAAACGTCCAAGAATTATCTTCAGGCCTTACCAGAGGCATATGGAAAAGCTCAAGGGTGGGAGACAAGAAGGCAGATCTTGTCTATCATGCATGTCTGGCGTTGCCGGCTTCAATGATATTTCAAGATTTATACCAGGCTTAACTAGATACGCTATAGCTTGGCCAACCTGCATCGCTTACAGTATGGTAGCGGGGCTCCCGCAATGCACCAACTTTCGCCGAGGATAGAGGTTGATCTGAAGCAACTTGACCATTTTTTATCGTACATAACAAGCCCGCATTTGGTGCACGATCTACCATTTGGGCAGAAAACGTTGAAACTCTCTTCTGGCCAGCTGGTTGAGATACTAAACGTCATAAGGACGATGATATCCCAAAGAATAGTATGTCAATACGATCAGTACTGCCACGAAACTGGCTTTCAACCATTCAGTGAGCGCACTATGCTTCGTGTATTGGAGGAATGCAAGGCCTCTGTCCGAAAATCTCTCCCAGGACTTGACTACGTCGCCGCAGACGGTGCGCGTTCATTTGAAGACTTAGAGAATTTAGTCCGCCGACTTGGAGAGCTCGGCCTCGGGAAAGAGTGGGAGTTGCAGTACGTGGAATTGCTTAAGGGTTCAAAATTATACCTTAAAAGTGATTTCAAGGTAAGGCTTAATTAAAAATAATAATACTGTATTTTTCGAATAAGCGCCCAAACATTCGGCCTCTCAGACCTAAACAATTTCAAAATAAAGATCGGTTGAAAAGAATCACTAACCCCGCATATCTCAGTACTGCCTGGAATTTTTACTTCAGTTACCTGATCTTCCTAAAGCGCCGTATCCTGTAAATGCAACCTTGTATCGATGTCTCAAGCGCTCAGGATGCGAGCGGTATAGTGCTCCAAATATTTTTAATACTATTAACTCACGACTTATCGTTGAATTGCACAGAGGCGAAAAGGAGGAAACAAAGTAATCCGAACCCAAACAAACAAACACTAATTCGGCGCTATTGTAAAATTGGCACTGACACCATGAAACCGAAAACGAAATTTACGTTTACCTTATCCTTTTCTCCATTTTGTGTCCACCATTGCAAACTTTCTGTAAAAACAAATCAGAGACTTTAAATTTCATATTCAGATGCATTTGTAGCGCTTCGAAATGCGTGCATGCTTGGAACACAGGAAATTTACCAGAAAGTCACGCAACCGTGCGCACGAGCACACCCGTCGCTATTGTGCAAAAACATTTCGCAACAGGTTGAAAATGCAGCGTTGGCGGAGCGTTGGTCATATATCCTTGTTTAACTCAGTCTCGTCGTTTCTTGAATGGCTCACTGTAGCTACAAAGCGCTTCTAGGTAAGGCCACCCCTTCCCAGGGCACACCTTGCGGTCAGTCCGCAGATTATCGTGGTCAGCTGGAATGTATTGCGCTCAAAGACTGTACAAAAGATGTAACTGGCCATTTAAAGACCTTAAACCTCAGCGCAGATGAGAGTTTTAGGATCTGAAATAAAGTTGCTGTTAGCCAGAGCAGGTAAATACCACCCTAAAATATAATATTTTTGTCTTTTTATCATTTACATTATTATTATTGTTATTATTATTATACGTTTTTCCTTTTTATCATCATGCACTTGAGGGTGGTTATTCTCTTTGTATTAACACATCATTCTCCTTCCAGGGGTTTTCTCAGTGGAAGAACATCAATGTGTCTTGAGCATTTGTCCCAGGCACAGGGCTGATTACGGCATCCGCTGGAGGACGGGGAAGACCATGTGTACAGTACCCAAAGAATTAGCGGTACATAAATCTACAACTTGCTAAAGGCAGCCACCGAGTGGATAGCTTGAAGTGGGCGTTTATTTTCAAAAACACGAACACACTTATTCCAGTTGGATCACGTAAGTTGCAGACTTTTCTGCGAAGGTTGGTTGGATAATGGTGACTTTTTTACGGTTAAGAATCACATATAAGGTGGCACACAAGGCGAGGAGTTTGCTAGCACTCTATTAAAGAAACAGTGAGAAATTTCCACGAGACAGTGACAAGAGAGGAGAGAGCATGCAAGGAGAGGGGAAGGCGCTAATTATCACGTGCCCCTTGTTTGTATTACGCAGGAGTATTTTTTTCCCGGGGGTGCGGGTAATCCTAGCACACCTTGCGGTCCTCATTCAAAATTATTGGTCTTGCGGGCAGGAAGTTGTCTTCTTTCTATGTATGTTTTAAATGCATTTGTTTTTACAGTCAGTATATTGAAATTAATTTCTGTTCGTCTGTTCTTTTTGTTTTGCTTTTGTTTTTCTATTTAAAGCAACTTGTAAACAATGCAACGAGTATATCAGCAAACAGGCAATGCCCAACCAAACTCTAGTGTTTGCTTCAGGTGGGGTGGAGCCCGTCCCCGGGGTCTCGCACCTGCAAGAGTTACCCAAGCCCCATTTGTTGGTAAGTAGAAATAAGAAACATCAGTGTAAATGGTTTGTTTAAGTGGCTACTTTAACGATGGTATGAAATGTTTTACTTTCAAAAAAGCATTCATCATTCATTCATTCTTTCATTTCCTTTTTAATCCTTTTTTACTTTAGGAGATTTCTTTTCATTTCTTTCTTTCTTTCTTTCTTTTTTAACGGGTTTGTGTGGGTGTTGGCTTATGAATAAAGTAAAACAAAATAAACGTTTTATCATGCTTTATATAGTCATTACACAATATATTTGTTTGAACTGTTTTAGGTAGAGGGGGAAACAGGCCGTTCAAGTGCATAAACAACTAGCAGTGAGTTATCGTCTGATGACCTTGCAACTGAACTGAAGAGGCTGGAGATATCGTCAAGAGGGCGGGATGATGAGACGTTCCTCAGTCCGGATACTGGAAGTCTTGTTTCTTCCACGAGTGACGAGGCCCCAACCACTATGCAAGAACCTCGCAAAAAGTTGAACGAATATCTGGTTTCGAAAAACATCCCGCGAATAACTCAGCCCTGGATGGAATGGGATAAAGCTGGAGAGAGCACTAAGAAGGAATACACCACTAGGACAGTGGAGATCTTTTCTTCAGTCCTACAAGATCTTACACCTAACTATGCAGGTTCTCTTTTGCAAGCGGTCTTCTCGTCCCCTGCCATGAACAAAGCTCTTAAACTCGATGAATTATCACAAACGTCCAAGAATTATCTTCAGGCCTTACCAGAGGCATATGGAAAAGCTCAAGGGTGGGAGACAAGAAGGCAGATCTTGTCTATCATGCATGTCTGGCGTTGCCGGCTTCAATGATATTTCAAGATTTATACCAGGCTTAACTAGATACGCTATAGCTTGGCCAACCTGCATCGCTTACAGTATGGTAGCGGGGCTCCCGCAATGCACCAACTTTCGCCGAGGATAGAGGTTGATCTGAAGCAACTTGACCATTTTTTATCGTACATAACAAGCCCGCATTTGGTGCACGATCTACCATTTGGGCAGAAAACGTTGAAACTCTCTTCTGGCCAGCTGGTTGAGATACTAAACGTCATAAGGACGATGATATCCCAAAGAATAGTATGTCAATACGATCAGTACTGCCACGAAACTGGCTTTCAACCATTCACTGACGGCACTATGCTTCGTGTATTGGAGGAATGCAAGGCCTCTGTCCGAAAATCTCTCCCAGGACTTGACTACGTCGCCGCAGACGGTGCGCGTTCATTTGAAGACTTAGAGAATTTAGTCCGCCGACTTGGAGAGCTCGGCCTCGGGAAAGAGTGGGAGTTGCAGTACGTGGAATTGCTTAAGGGTTCAAAATTATACCTTAAAAGTGATTTCAAGGTAAGGCTTAATTAAAAATAATAATACTGTATTTTTCGAATAAGCGCCCAGCTCGATTAAGCGCCCATCCTAAAGGCAGAAAAGTTAATAAGCGCCCAGCCTCGAAAAAGTGCCCACCCCGCGTAGATTTAGCGATCCTCAAGGCGGAAAAGGGGCAGCAGACCGGCTGGCTGCAAGTTGTAAAAGACATATCAGGGCCTTTATTGATGAAGGCAATGATGCTTGCACTGCCGATGAGCTTAAAGACGAATTATTATCGCATGGTGGATTGAAAGGTGTAAGAGTTGCTTCCCTTGATTCCATCATCGAAACACCTGACAGTGGGCAAACTATTACTGGCATTACAAAACGGAACAATTTTGAGTTTAGCTCTACAGAATCTGTTACCTGTTGGCGTGCGTATTGTGTTGGTCGAGGAAAAATCATCTGATCCAGGATCTTCATCAAGTAAGTATGAGAATTAAAACTAAAAGTGAGCTATTCAGAATTAATGTATGAGTTGCCGCTAAATTGAAGTTCTATATTAAAATTAATGCAATTCAAAAGTGTAAGACCCTTACTTTATTGGAGATCCTTACCATACAATAATTATCTGCAAGTACATGTATCAGATACCTTCGGAGTCCCACACAATATTCTTGGTTCTGTTAAATGAAGAAGTGATTGTCGCAGTTGTAAGAGCAATTTAAGGAATTACCATTTTGTTCAATTTTTTGGGTGGCTTAAACGGGCAAACCCATAACCTCCACGTTAGCGCGGCAGTGCTCTACTAACCGAGCTATGAATACCCATGTATTGGGAACATTACGTTTATTTCTGTCGTGTTTGCTTTAAACACTAATAATTGATTTGAAAAAGAAATCAGAAAAAAAATCTTTATTGGTATTAATTTGCTTACCCATCGATACCAAGTACTTCAGAAATCATTCTCCGAAGGAGATTTTAACTTCCTTTCGATGTAAATCTGAAAAACAGGTTGGACAGAGAGCTTCAACATCAGCAACTGTGGCCGAGCAATCTGGTGGCGTTTCGGAAGACAGTGACCTGTCCACAGGGGTTTATTCCTGTCCTCAAGACGGCTGCGTTCGTGTGTTCCAAAGAGTGTCTGTTTTAGAGAAACATCTGTCTGTAGAAAAATGTTCCCGATCCGCGGCGAAATATTCTTTAATTGATTTCGCGAAAATGGGATACAAGACCCATTTGGAAGAAGGTGTTGGCATATTGCCCTCTCTTAAAGCCCCAGGTGCTCACCAGGAGGGTCACTTTGTACCAAATGAGGGATGGGCCCTCAGAGCAGCAAAGAAGGCGTATAGATTCAGCGAAAAGCAAAAGTCTTTGACTTACTTACTGGCGAAATTCTCTATCGGTCAAACAACCGGCCGCAAGCTTGACGCCGAGGTTGTGGCGAGGGAAATGCGACGCGCCCGTGGAGTAGATGGTGTGCGACTTTTCCAGTCCTCAGAATTCCTAACCAGCTTGCAGGTTGCGTCCTTCTTCTCGAGGCAAAGCGCTACACTACAGCAAAAGGACCCACCAGATGAAGCCGATATCCGGGCATCTCAAGAGGAAGCTAACTTTAGTGCAGCGAAGGAGGTCGTTGAAACCATTCAGCTCAACCATCCTCTGGTATACGATCAGTACAACCTGTGTGAGATGGCGCTCAGTGGTAACTTGAAAGTCCTCAAGCTACCGATGCTTCAGCNTTGTGGCGAGGGAAATGCGACGCGCCCGTGGAGTAGATGGTGTGCGACTTTTCCAGTCCTCAGAATTCCTAACCAGCTTGCAGGTTGCGTCCTTCTTCTCGAGGCAAAGCGCTACACTACAGCAAAAGGACCCACCAGATGAAGCCGATATCCGGGCATCTCAAGAGGAAGCTAACTTTAGTGCAGCGAAGGAGGTCGTTGAAACCATTCAGCTCAACCATCCTCTGGTATACGATCAGTACAACCTGTGTGAGATGGCGCTCAGTGGTAACTTGAAAGTCCTCAAGCTACCGATGCTTCAGCACTTGTGCGAGGATCTCGGCCTGATGCACCTGTCCCGCCTGTCCGCAAGAAGGCTCCATACTTGACACTCTTAGAGGAAATAACCAAAAAGTGCACATGCCGAAAGTAACTCTTTTATTAATAGCTTCCTAGAAGTGTTTTAGCGACAATCAGTTTGATAAAATGGGTTGAAAACGGGGAGAACGGGTACTCCCTCATAAAAATGGCGATGTTCTAGTTGTACCTTTTACAACCCCGTTCCCAGGTTCTCTCTCTTAGGTTGGTACCTTTTAGGGTTTAAAATTCTAAAACAACCGCAGCTGTAGCAGTACCTTTTAGGTTTTTTAAACTATGAAAATGAAGGGAACTGTTTTGGGGTTGAACTAAAGCCACTCAGCGTAATGAGAATCTTGCGATCAGAGCCTCCTCGACAAGAAGTAAGGGACTACCCCTTCCTCCCCAAGTCTGAGAGTCAATGACAAAACAAAAAAAAACAGTATCAAAGAAAGCTCCCCTACCGGGATGTAGCAATGAAATTCATTTTATAACTGCGTTTAGCAAGACCTCAAACAATGATCTTACTTTGAAAAATACCCTGCGAAAAATTTTTACTTCTAAACGTACTCCTTCCCCACCCCCATCTTGACAACAGGTCGAAAAGTTTATCCCGCGGGTGGGAAGTTATTGTTGTTGCTGTTGTATTTTAAATATTATTATTCCTACCGGAGCCTCAAATCATACTTCGTTTTAAAAAATACTAATTTGAGCAAAATTAACTCGTTTAAGTTTCTAGGCAACGCTGGGTGGAAGGTAGACTACGAGTAGTCCCCCATTTTTCCTCAGGGATAGTAGAGCGTGCGAAACGCGAGCGCGCGTGAAAATCACCCCACGCGAGAAAAGCCGACACGCGAACTAATGCGTTGCTCTCACAACACAAAACTCTGATTGGCTCTTCCATGGAAATCTCTCAACATCTGTCAAAAACGCGCCAGCCGCTATCAACACTCGACATAATCACAATTTACAGAACAAATAACTAGAGCAGAACAAATAACAGAACAGAACAATTAACTAGACTTGCTCTTGTAGAAGCAACTAAGCAGAAAGCCAACCCGGCAACGCTCCAGATTCACATTATCTCCAGAAAAACAAGCGGCAGTTAAAATTCATGAGCAGTCATGACTAAGTCATATCGCAATTCTCCATAGTTAATGTAGTTTTAGTTTAAGCTGCAATCCATTTTTCGAGATTTGGATATCACTATATCCGTCTTGCTAAAAACGCTAACGAGCTGGGCCCAGCGTGACAAAACATTGCAGGAAACCGTCACATCCACGGCCAAAAAGAAAATCGCTTAAAATTATTCATATCCAGGAGGCAATCGCCGGAGAAATTAAACAACCCAAAATCCTTATTTTTCCGCATTGAAGAACTTTACTTTTCAAAAGAGGTCAAAGAAAATGCTCTTGCCTCAGAGGGCAAATCATGCCGACCATAAACAATAACCACAGAAAATTAATATGCGTGATACGACCTCTCAGTATGAAATAAGCGGCAAAAATCGCATTTGCTCAGTCAAAACGTTTTCCTCCAGAGCATAATCTACCCGTCAGAGAAAAAAAATTCATTGGAACAAGCAGCATTTTGGCATGAGTTAAAGTCGTGTGTCGCCTACACTATCCAGTTCTTCTCGCGAAACAGCCGTGAAGAAAATTAGTATCTGGGTTTTTTTTTTGCTTGCAATAAATATCCCCCGCAGTTTACCAATGACAAGAGCAATGACAGCTCAATAAGGGAAGGAATCCCATTGGATGTACTTAATTGATTTGGAAGGGGATACGAACTTCACACTCCAAAATCAGTCGGCCGTGAAGGGTCAAAAGCTTGGGCTTCGTCTGTAGTCCCTCATTTTTCTCCCTTCCCGCCGCGTGTCGCCTTTTCTCGCGTGGGGTGATTTTCAAGCGCGCTCGCGTTTCGCACGCTCTACCATCTCTGAGGAAAAATGGGGGACTACTCGTAGTCTAGGTGGAAGGGAGAGGGTAACTGAGATTGCGTCACATTTACTGGACTCGAATATCAGCACACGGTTTATTCTGACAGAATGCCGTGTGTTTCGATTTCTTAACACATGTAGCTTCACGTGTTTCAGATACTAAAAACAAAAACCGTTTGAATTTGTGAAAACTAACGTGGATTCAAACTCTTCCTGTAGTGGAAAATGGCTTTCCGCTACGTTGTTTCTGCCTGTATCATTAAATACCACCTATAGTGGCACTTTGCCGGTTATTATTATTGTCGCGGTAATAACTAAATATTTCCAAAATTTCAACGGTCTTTCCAGCAAACTACCTTTGTTTTTCTTAAAGTCTCACAATTACTATTTCATTCAAGAAACCTTGCAGAACGATAAATGTCTAGGAAAACGTCCTGGATGGATAGTTTGACACAAAGGCGGGTGGTTTAACTGATTTATCACGTTTGTTTACATTACCTTGCGATAACCAAAGCGGACTATCTACATCAAACTGTTCAAAGCACTGGATGTGTCTCCTATGAGCTCTTGGATATTTCTATAAGCGGCAAACTTAAAATTGTCAAAGGTAAATTTAGTTTGATATTTTAACTCAAGTGATTGTAACTATAATGTTAGATGTTTGTTATAAATCCAGCGCCATTTTGCACGTTGATAGTTGCTCAGACTTCCGATTCCTGCGAAGGGAAGCGTTCCGAGTTCGACCTTGAAACTTTACTCGATAAATCTTTAAGACCTATATTTTAGCTCTGCAATGCTTTTAAGCATGTCAGTTTTTAACAATGAAAATTGTTAAAAACTGACATACCAGGAACATTTTTATCCTGATGAATATTAGCCACATTTTGCCGCCATCGAAAGCGGTCTCCGAAGATGTTTTCCAAATGGCCTGAAAAACCATTGTAGTATCATATTTGAAAAGATTAAAACATTGGTAGTGTAGAAGATTGATTGCTTTGAAATTCTTTTAATTTTGAGGTCAACTGATTTCATTTTAAGACTTCGGCGGAGGTTCATCATCGCACTTTTTGATCAACCAAAAAACCGCACTTTGACCGCATTTTGAACGCACTTTTAACTTTTCCCAAATTTCCCAAATAAACAAAATCGTTGGAACTTTTGAATATGATTTTTGAAAATAGTCTACCCAAGGCTAACTTTGGGCAAAATATCAGGGATTCGCCAAATGGGTCGCTGACCGCCGATTCTCGATCCTTTCAGACAGCCACTCTTAAAACAGAGGGTTGTGGGAAAAGGTCTCCGAGTTCTCTTGATCAGAGCCGAACCTACTAGAATCTACCGATAACAGTTTCGGTCGCATTATTTTCTCCTGAGCAATTTTACACGGGACGATTCACAACGACAATTTACAGTGCAATACAACTTTGCAAAATCGCGGGAAAATTTCTTCGAATTGCTCCAATATTGTTGCCTTAAAAATCCGTGATCGTTGCAAATCGTCTTGCGTAGAATCCCCCTTATATAATTAGGTATATAGGACACTATAGTCGAAGTTGTATTTGTAGCCCAATTACCGCTTTATTCGCTAAAAACAGGCATTTTTGACGAGACTCATCATCATTAGTAGCCTATGGACAGTGGGATATTAATAATTGTTCACGGGGAATTTAACAGACATCGTTGACTATTAATACGCGTAATTTTAAAGTGAAAGTATATCATGTAATGGAATTTGATTGCTCATTAATAGCTTCTAATCCATGAATTTTACAATAAGTTACAAAGGAGGAGCATGTTACCTTGAACAGTTAACGTGGCCGATTTTTTTATTAATCCAACAATGTTGCTTGCTACGCACGTGTACAAGCCACCATCTTGTGACGTCACATCCTTAATCATTAAACCTCCACGAGACTGTACAATTCGTTTGTCGGCTGGAAGACTGGTATTTTCTTTAAGCCATGTAATTTGAGGAACAGGATTTCCTTTAACCTCACACCGCAGAGAAGCTACATCAGTTTCGTTTACCACCGTGGAAACTGGGGATGTCACAATAGAAGGAGCTGAGATGGATTCACCAGGATCACCCTTGGGTCCTTGAGGGCCCTGATCGCCCCTAGGTCCAGGAGGCCCCTGATCTCCCTGAGAACCTTTAGGTCCCTGTGGTCCCTGGGGCCCAGGCGGACCATGCTTGCCTGAGGGACCAGGCCTGCCACGATTTCCCTGAGGCCCTGGCTGACCAAGCTTGCCTGGAGGACCAGGCCTGTCTCGGCGTCCCCTTATTCCTTTCGGACAATGAATTGTACAGGCCATTTGAATTTCTTTTCTGGTGAAGGTTTCACTGGCGTTTGAATCCTTCTTTTGCAGATGGCATTTTTGACGGATTTGTGCATCTGAAATGTAATGTACTCAGCAAATCAGTTCTTTGAGAGCAAGGGCCTTAATCTCCAAAAAAGGTAAAAGTAAAGGCGCACACGAGCCAAAGTCCCAAACGACCGCAGCTTATCCCGGTTTTCTTTTTTAGCATGAAGCATCTAGGAGTATTGCTAATCCATCGCAGGGTTACCCCCATGTGAGCAGCATGCATGTCGCCGGTGCTTAGTTCCCTTCCGTAACCACCACCATTGGTAACAAAACCTTTACTCATGATGGATGTAATATATTCGCCTGATTAAGTTACAATAAAGCAAATAATACGTTTCTGAATAGTCTTAGAAAGAACGACATTGAAGTCCAAGTTGAATTTACGTTAAAAATTATGGAAAGGGATAGGGTCACCTGTTATTGATGTAACATAAGAAAAACAGTTTGCTAGTGTATGTACTTAATTTTTTTCGGAATTTTACCGTTTCGGTGTGGTAGTGTAGTGGTAAGAGATTAGCGTACGAAAGGTCCGGATTCGAGGTCCAGGTTCGACCCTGGGTTGCGATTTTAATTTTATTAATAGACGCGTTTCTGGCTAGGCACGTTAACACACGTAAATTTTAATCACGTAAATAAAATAGAGACAAGAAAAAAAATGCTGAGATTAAACGAGAACTTAAGCGAGGTTCAACTTTTACGCTTACGAGCGACCTTTCATGCATTGCCTCTATTTTATTTGCGAACGTAAATTTTACTCACGTACGCACGTAAAAATTACGCGACACTGGAAATCAACCCTAAGAGAAATTAAAAATGGCAGCGACCATTTACGAAAGGAACAGCTGCGCCCGGGGCGGGGGGGTAATCAACAAATATTTCTTTGGGGAGGCTCCGCCCCGAGGCTCAACCCCTTCAAGCCCATTTATGTATCACTTTTTACGAAAAAGGGACCCCTTTCCTGTTGACAAATGGTACCCCTTTCACATACCTTGTCTAGAACTTTGCATACTTTTTAACTACTGTAAATGCACTGTCTTTCACAGTAGGAATCAATCACAAAAAAAGAACGTTTTCTCGACTTTATACAGCCATAAAATTCATCTGTTGGCTCTTTTAGGCCCTTTCACAGACCCAAATTACAGATTTTCCTACCCTTTCGTATACTTCAAGGAGTTAAATCCCTACTCTTTCGTATACCTGAGGCCTGAAAAAGGTACCCCTTTCGGGCGGAGCCTCTCCCGTATAGGCCATTATAGGGAGTACGCCCCCCGAGCAACTGCGTTGCCGGTACCCATTTGTACACCCGGGCGAGGATAGAGAAACTGGAGCAAAATGCCTTGTCCAAGGAAACAACGCGACTTGAACCCCGGACCTCCAGATCCTTAATCTTCATTAGCAAACACAAATTCAACTCTTTAGTACTTCACTTATGATTGAGGTGATTCGGGCCACGGCTAACATAAAGGTTTATGATTACTCTCTCAAGTTCTGCTGGTAAGCCATGCCCACAGCGCCTCCCCACCCCGCCCCCCTCCCCCCCCCCCCGACACACACACTTAAAGAATGGTTCCTTAGGATGTAACACTCGATTTTTGTGGAAAGATCAGCTGCTGGTGTTCCTTGTTTTGTTTCGTGCCATTTGGTCCTTAACAGAATTTAATCAGTCTGACAGAGTTTCAGATAAACAGAAAGTGTTAATCAAATCCTTCCTAAATGCAACCACCTCAGCTTTACAGGAATAGTGCTGAATGACAGTAACTTCCTTTTCCCTTCTCTTTCAAAAGAGCGCGCAAAGCGAGCAAAAAAATTATTTAGGAGTACTGCCGCTTTGATCAGCACGTATGAACTGAGTTAGAGTTGACCTCGGGTAAGAGGCACTCCAGTTTGTCATTTCCCTTAGTGAGCCAAAAATTGCAATCACATTTTTCTTAAAAAAAGGTTGTTTTTTCTCTGAGCTTAAATGATTCAATTTTATTTTAAATTAATTAGTCTTTTGATTCTTTTTTAATTGCATGTGGACTGTTGACTGACTGAACAGTCAACGGCGAACTCAAATTCATTCAAAATCGCTCAAAAAACCGCTTTTGAGGCAAAAGGACGACTATACACCACAGGCGAGGTAATTCAACGTTTATTTATCATTGATTTATATACATAGTTAGCGATATATCGCTATAGGTGAAGCAAACGGTAAATCCAGTACATTTACTATAAAATAACAATCGGCTACACGAACAGATTGTGTGGGCCCCCTGTGGGCTGTCATCTTAACTATTTTCATCCTAATCTCAATGTCAGATTTCTGGGGTCAATAACACAGTGGTGGACGTCATCTCAGAGTGGGGACTAAACTTGATTAGCTGTTCAAAGCCATTCACCAATTTTAAAGACGGTTTTAATTTACTGAAAAACATGTCTCTTTATTAGTAATGGCTGTTATTTCATTCAAAAGCTAATGTCGTATTTGTTTTGTCAGTTGGAGAAAGAACTTGAGGATTGATGATAATGATTGCGATGATTTTTATCATACCCTTGCTCTATAAAAATTACGAAAGCAAAACGATAGGAAAGGAATATTGCTATTTATTATAAAATAATGAACTGTAATTGAGGGTAAGAGTTCCAGGCATTTCTATTTTGATTTGGCGAGAGGGACTGAAGATGCTAAACTGCTTGCCAGGCACAAAACTGAAACGGGAGGGGAGGGGAGAGGGAGAAAAGCATAAACGCAAAATTGGAAGGAAGAATATTTCCCTCTCTCCCCAATCTCCTCTCCCTTTTCCTTCCTTTCCTCTCCGCTTTCTACGCCTGCCACGCAGCAACAGTTAACGCCTGGTCAATTTCTAACAGTCCTCTTTTCATTAAAAGAAAAAGTTGTTTTTATTAAAAGTGCCTGGGCGACTGTACACAGTTAAGGTAATTGACCAGCTTGGAAGCTCACCTCAGTGGAAACCGATTCAACAAACCTCCTACGATCAACAGCGCTGTGTTTATCAACAGCAACTAATAACGGTTTGACAATTAAGCAACTAAAATGTACATAAGGGTCTCTTGTAATGAGGGATTCCATTCTGTGTATGCGGGGATATCTAATGGTTGTTTGGTAGAAACCAAAGCTGAAACGGCTATATATACTTTTACATGAGGATGTACAGTTATAACCAAAACCAAGTAAAAACTTCGAATCGAACGGAACCAAAAAATTGCTTGAATTTCGGGCATGAAAACACGTTGATTTACCAGTCACAGAGTAAAAATTTTAGGTACAGGAAAACCCCTTTTTAGGGGCTACTTAAACTTCCCAATTTTCACTCCAAATCTTGGGTGATTTTTGCTCCTGAAAAAGAGTTCCTTAAACTTGTTTTTGGAGTTCAAATAACTCCCAAAACAATAACTCCACTGTAAGGAGTTAAATTAACCCCACCAGAGGAGTTATTATAACTCCTTGAAAATTACTGTGCAGAATGCTGGAAACCGTGTCATCATCGCTAAGTTAGACAAATTATAATTTTCACTTTCCTGAGGGTACATAATTTTTGGACATTTTGGACTGATTATATAGAAATCTAGGGAAACTGAAGGCTATATAATTATCCTGATTGTTTCAAACAATCAGAATTAAAAAAAAAGACTGAAAAAGTTTTTCAGCGAATGCAGTTATACAATGCGTAGTGGTAGTTGGACCATGTGTAGAGCAGGTTTAATTTAGATGTTTATCCAGTTAACGAATCATTTCCTAACGGTACAGACAGCAATTCATCCACGATTTGAAGAAATCCTTGTGGAATATTCAGTTCCTGAAATAGTGAAAACAATTACCAAAGGATCTATAGCCTAATAAAGATTCAATAGGAGTAGTAGGGCTTCAGCAAACTTAACCGTTTTGGTGGATTCCCTTTGGATTCCCTCGCAAAAAGTGGATTCCCTTAATTAATAGGCATATGGGTCTAGTCTATGACGTCACCCATTGTTATAACCTAGGGAAAAAAAGTGCCTTATTCCATACTAATTAAGTGCCTAGTCAGTGTCTTCTTACATACTAATTCGGGATAGGTTTACTAATGAGCGTCACTCTACTTCAATAGGAACAATAGGCTTGCCTAGACTTGTCCGGTAAGTAACTTGAGCCCGGTTTTCGGACCGTCTATTAAAAGAAAAATAGGAATAAGAGAAGCGATCACCTAGTAACGCGAGAAACGGCTTCCTATATCTTATTTAGCGCTAAAGCTCAGATATACATAAACAAAACACATACAGAAAGTGGAGTTGAAAAGTCTTTATTTCAATTTAGTTTACGTCTTCTTATTTGGCGCTAAAACTCAGATATATATAAACAAAACATACACAAATTGGAGCTGAAAACTCTCTAAGTTTGTCTGACGTTTTCTCCTTTCTATCTCGAGGAAATGAAAGTCTTGTCATTTTCACGCACGGTTAATCAGTCAATTATGCGAGTTCGCAAGCCCAAAGTTGAATACAAATTAGCTCTACAGGAAAGACCCAAGGGAGAGAATCTTGACGTATTATTATAAAACAAATAACTTTTATTTTGTGGCGGTCATGGTTGGTATAACCGGTTTGACAGGTTTTAGTTATTTTCGGAAGATGATGTCATATGTATTCCGGGGTACTATGATGTCATAGTTGTTTTGATTGGTTGACCGGAATTAGAAAGACGCTCATTGGCTGTCTCGTTTGACGAAGCATTCTAAACTTGTCTGTGACTTAAAATCACAGAGGCGTAATGTAATTATGCAAGTCCTATTTCCTGCTGCTGTGATTGTCCTAGTTCCGGTTCACTGACTTTTGGCGGGCAAATCGTGCATATTAATGAGGGCAAAGA